CTAGCCTAATTGCGACGTTTACGGGCACTTTCTATCGTGAAAGCGCAGTAGGTAAAAACGAAGCCGATAGGTGGTGTTCTTCTCTTTAACTTTTCGGACGTCGCTCAGAGATGGCGCGCGGGTGTATGTGTGTACGGCGTTCTGCACGGACACGACGTTTATTTCCACGCCGGAAGAAACGGCGGAACAGTTTTATTGTTACACGCTCTATTTCCGGCTGAAAATACATCAGGTCGATGCGCGCGTGTTTGTGTGAATATTCTACGCGTGTATGCGCGGTCACAGGGATCGTTCTTTGGGTTACGAGTATGCAAGAACAGGCTATGGCGACGAATTAAAATTCGTGTACGAATACGTGTATTTACTATTGTATGATAAAAAAAAAAAGGCAAGAAACGAAACGAACGAAAGGTAAAAGCGACGATGGCGAAACGAACAACAGCACTTACCGTGACGACACAAGCAGAGCGCGTCAACCAAATTAATCGATATATGTATACACATGTTGCAGCAGATATAATCGACTGGAAGTACGGTACAATCGGAGAAGAGGGGCGTGGTGTCACCGGTTAACATACTCGAAATTAAAGAAAGAAGTAAAAACAGGTAATAGAATAAAGATAGAGACAGAGATAGAAGGTGGTAATGGGCCTGGAGAGAAAGAGAGAGAGACAGAGAGAGAGAGAGAGAGAGAGAAAGATCAAAGAAGAACTATATATCGAAGAACGTAGGATATATATAATATAAAGGAGCAACAACAACAACGCAAATAACACAAAGGGTAAATGACAATAATTTATTGTTGTCAAGGGTAATTACGTTCTACAAAGAAATGATAAATCGTTGGTGTGTCCGAACAATAAGTACGGAATTATGTACTTAAGAAAGGCAAAAAGCACCGGCACGCAGAACCGTCCGGCACGAACTATAGTAAAAGAGAGAGACACGCGTACGGATCCCGTGAGAAGCAGAACGAATGGCTCATCGTGTGATCGTACGATCGATCGCGTTTAGCGGCTGGCAGCTTTCCCGTTTCGCGGCAAAGGCACAATACGAGCATACGTAAGAACCGAAAAGAGGGGACAAAAAAAAAAAGAAAAAAAAAAAAAGAAAAATACAAAATAAACGGGGAGAAGAGAAGGAAGAAAGACGCTGAAATAAATCTAGGGTAAATACATATATATGTATATACGGTGCGCTTTTACCGACGGTTCTGCGAACACTGCACTCGTAATTAAAGGAGTAACAATAATAATAATAATAATAATAATAGTAATAATAATAATAATCGTAATAATAATAATTAATAATAATCACTAGCTACAGATATCATGTGTACGCGTGGTGGACAACTTTACAGATTAAACATACATGAAACGCAAAAAAATAAACTACTACTGGTAAAAGTAATTAAAGGAGAGTCTACTAATATATATCCATATATATATAAATATATATATATATATATATAGACACGGTAGGCTTCGCACAAAAATTACATGGAGGTGTATACAACGGTACAGGTTTCTATGTGTACGTGTCTCCGTGTGTGTGTGTGTGTGTGTGCGCGTGTGTGTGTGTGCGCGCGCGTGTGTGTGTATGCGTGTGTATGGACAGCAAGGAGAGTAAAAAACGGAAAAAAAAGAGAAAAAAAAATATTCGGTGAGAAAAAACCCGGGAAGAGAAAAAGAGAGGAGAGATACTCGTGGATCAAACAGGAGGGGTCCTTCTTTGTGGGGTCTTCCAACGACGAGGGGCGATCTTAACAAAGTAACAAAGTTCACTCTACAAAACAGTTCTCGCGACGGTCAATAAGAAAAAAAAAGAAAAAAAGAAGTGAAAAAAGAAGAATTAAAAAAAAGGAAGAAAAAGAGATATAACCGTGGCGTATAAACGAACGAGGCTTGTAAAAAGTCTACCAGGAGGTCCATCGACACGACGCGGAATCGAGAGACCGCCTTGTGGAATGACGAAAACACATTTTGCGGGCGTAACGTCGACGTGGAATCCGTAAAGAGGGTCTTCGATTACGCGAGCTATTTACCTTTCCCCTGAAATAACATCTCGCGTGCCAAGCGTCTGGCAACCGCGCTCCCAGCGTCCGTGATTTTCGCCAATTTCCAAAGAGATTCTCAAACTCGAGACAAGGAAGAATATAAAATTTAAATGTAAAAAAGAAAAAAGACATTCGAAGCCCACTGATTACAACACGTCGACGTTCGTCAGAGAATTTGAAAAAAGAAAACAGTGTCCGAGAGATAAGTGTGTGGATGTTCGAAGCTTCGAGTTACCGCCGCGTGGCGCGCGCTTGAGTTGCAGTTCGCGACGTTCGGGAATCGATCTAGACCCTCGAGCAGTAGTAACTCGTAGTTGGACGTTGACGAGTATGGCGAGCTGACGAAAACGATAAACGGAGAGAGGGGGGAGGAAGATAGACAACGGTAATCGACGTGGGCGTGAAATTCTAATCTCGACACGGCGTTTTAAATAGAAAGTACAGGCCGCATAGCCGATTGGATCGGCTGCGGCGTGTTAGAGATTGCTCCTTGCTAGATATCGCGAGTCTCCTATCTACACTGACAATGAAAGCACTGCGAGTGAATCTCCCATTCGAATGGGCTTTAGTTATTGCCGTACAAGCGATACAAAAATTACAGGCTATCTATTCGCTACGTTTGACAAGATCAAATCCAAACGAAGTAGCATCCGACGTTGCTCCCCGTGAAACGCTGCTCCTTCTGGACGCGACCCTGACGAGTTAATCTGCACTGCACCGTTTAAAATTAAACGTTATAACCGTTTATACTGAATGGTCTATTCTTATATATCGTGATATATTACACTTCGTTGCGTCTGTTGCGTTACTGTACAATTTTCGAGATACAAGATGGCAACGCTTCCTCACCGAGTAACTGTGCACGAACAATCGCGGCGAATGCTTGAGCCTCGAGAATGCAAGTACCGTGCTGTCTGCGCTATACCAGCATAATTGCACTTATGTGATTAATCGACTAAAGGCTATTCGTATTATAAATATAGCAACGCGAAAAATTTCCTCGGAAAATATATATATATATATCTAATACTTCTACCAACATCAACGATCATGCAACGATAGTACCAACAACTTCCAATTGCTCCTCATAAACAGACCAATGCTCTGAAGGATACTTGGTGAGGACAATTCGCATAAAACAAATAATCGAACGAGCAAAACTGCCAACGTCGTTTGCCCGTGATACTTCTCGAGGTCGCTCATTGTACTACGCGAGAGGGATAATTGTGCGATCATGGTAATACAAGTATATACCGTGAGAAGAGTACAAAATGGTGCAAAAGCTGCGAACACAATACAGTGTGTGCGAACGTTAAGATCGGTAGCTTATAATTTACGCAATGGTCTTGCATGGCTCGTAGAAAAATAAAAATTCTCGCGCCTTTCACGCTCGTTGTGAACGCGTCGAAAGGATTATGTACAATAAAAAGAAGCGAGAGAGAGCGGTTTCATCCACGAAAAGAAATGATACCCCGATGCATTTTTCCCAGCGGGCCTTACGGTCACGCGGCACCAGGTGACCAAGCTCGTGCGGCCTGTGTATCACGTTCGGCGGGATGCAAAAATAAATTTTGCCCCGTGATAGAAATCGATACCGTGTCGTTTCGACGTACGTCGACTTTGGTTTTTCCGAAACTCACTCGAAGCGTGAAGAAACACTACACCGTCACGCGGAGTTAGCGGCATGGCGACGCTGGTGACGGAAGCGAGCAGGATGGCCTGCGATTGGACAGCAGTCCGAGCCAAACGCGTGGACAGCGGACGTAGTGGACTTGGTCTGATGTAGACCGGTCTCGGGGCCACGTCAGAGGAACCTCTTCCAAGAAGATCGTTCACCGCTACCTGCCAAGTTCACAGGAGAGCCGTGGGCACGAAAACGCGTCCGACGAAATTTTTGATATGTCTTATGGCTTGGAGATACGCCGAAGAATGGGCTTAGGTTAGGTGTTCTTTGACAATCTTCCGGGCAGAGAAGCGTCTTTCGTTGAGCTTGGTAGTTTTCCTGCTTTGCGAAAGGCATCTTGGAACTGGGGTGAAGAAGCTCTAAACTGTTTGGCAGAGTCATTCGAAGTCGTTGTTCTTGACATTCTGTCACTGTCACGGGTAAGCAGCAGTGAGCTAGAGAGTTGGACTGAGGTCCAGGTTCCTCGAAATGAAGGTGTAATGCCGATTTCGACTCGACAGTCATAAAATATAGCGATTCTTTTACCTAAAATGACCTTCTAAACAGTAGCAAAATTTTCATTTTCGTTCCAAGACGTTTTATCGAGTGATCCTGTTGCTAGGGAGTCTATACAGAGCCGCTAGAAAAATACTGCAACGGGGAGACGCTGTGCTCGTGTACACATGCTCTGTCTATTGGTCTTCACCGTGACCTAATAGACCCAATATCGCAGTTGCACGGTCCATTAGGTTAGGGTAAAGGCAACTATCAGATTATACGTATATACAACCACGGGGTTGCTCGTTGCGATATTTTTATGGCTGCGCTGTCCTCGGGACCCCTAACAAGACAACCACTCTGAGAAAAGCTACTAAACCTCTGTCTTCGTCTTTCAGAGAATAAGTGAATATCACAAGCGTTTCTTCTAATAGTGACCGAGTAGTCAGCCAGCCTACCAACTACTAGATACATCTCTGAACACCATGCTTCCCTACGAAACTGGAGACCAGGGGAACGTGAAAGAAATCGACATCCCGATCAACGTTATCAACCTGTTCGTCCCATACCGTGAACGGAAACACGGAGAGAGTCCAGAGGGTGCGACGTGAATCGTCTTCGTCAGCTTAGGTAGGCAGCTCGTGGGGGACGCGTGGAGGAATCGTCTGGTTTGGTGGAAACGCGACCGAACGTGTTCTCTGTTGCCGGATGTTCGCGACTTTACGTGTTCACTTGTCTGATCTCGTTTGTTTTTGGCTTTCCGCTAGGCGAGCAGCAACTCACCGCGGTGATGGCGCTGCTGCTGCTGTGGTTGTTGCTGATGGTGAAGCTGACGGTGATGATGATGATGATGGTGCTGGTGATAATTGAGCGACGAGGACGGTGATGGACAGAGGCTACCGCCGCCGCCTATTTGCTGCTGTTGCTGCTGTTGCTGAAACTGCTGCAGCTGGCCGTCGTCGTGGGTAGGTGTCAAGTCCAAGAACAGGCCTGAAGTGGCTGAATCGACGCAACTGCATGACTCGGTGGCCGTGGCGTTGCAACCGGGACAGCAGTCGATTTCCGTGGCCAAACTCATCGGGGTCTCCGGGGAATCCACGGGTCTCGTGCCAACGAACGAGCTCTCCATCCAACACAGCTTCACGCTCCCTTCGAGGAGAAGTTTCATTTCATTAGATGCGTCATGAAGAAGCCACCTGCCCGCGTGTCTACGTATGTTCTTTCTAGGGGTGGCTTCTTTGTGTCTACGTTTGATCCCATCGCGGGTACTACGCAAGAAGACATAGCAAAACGTGGTAATATCATGGAAAGGTGTAGCGAACTGCTGGCTACCCTGCAGGTAAGCTGTAACGACGACGTGGTTCAGAACGTTCCTCGAACCCGTTACTCTAATTGTTCTTTCTTTTACTCTAACACACCGCTAACGTTTACCACGCTTTATACCTAGGCCGGTTATACCTAGCACATCGAGTTAGACGAGTGCATCGGTGGGCCATCGTTCTCTAAAGACGACACAGATCTCTCACAGATTAGGTCGTGTTAGTGAAGCTCTAACACGGAGGTATTAATAACACAACGCAAAGAAAGCGGATCGGCACACACATTCACGTTATTGACAAGATCATTCATTGGCAGTTAGTCTGACGACGTGGTTAGACGAGGAGTCTCTCTAGCGTTTCGGAGAGGGCTTTGGTCACGCAGAGAACTCGACGACGTTGATACTTCTCGATGCGTCAGCAGACTCGACGCAACGAATGCTATATGTACATGGCGAGACGATTCTTTTTTTTCCGGGGGCCAAGATATCGTGTGTGGGTCATAAAAGCTTACGAGGCGTAACAGCTGGGCCACGCGTGTTATCTTCGCGCGCGCGCGCCGTTCCCGATGTTTGTTTTAATTTTGTCCTAAGGTCGGCCAGAGTGGCGGGTAAGTTCGCTCGCACCGACAGGAGACAGAGGGGTGTGATTTAAGCTTCAGGGTGATCTATTTCGGTGATACCGACGGCCACGCCGTGTACAAGGCTATCGAAATAGCATGTCGGCTGGTCGTGCGCGCATACTTTCGTCGCGAGACAGCCGCGATTAAAGATGAAGGTGGACCGAGGTAGCGGGGCTGCACGCGAGGTGGTCCGCGGATAGGGTCGAGAAGCAGCCGAGGAGACCTTTTCCTCCCTATGCTCGACCTTGCGTCATGGGTTCGCGCGCTGGAAATACGATTTAGTGTCAAGGCTGTCGGTGAACACATTTACGGAATTTTTCGTCGCGTCTGCTTTGCCGCTTCGGTTCACTCGCTGACGTCGAAAGCACGCGGCAGGTCTTCCGAAACGATTCTTCGGGCCACGTGTCTCTAATGTATCGGGCATAGTTGTTCGAACGATATAGAGTGCTCGTAAGTCACCGTTGGTTCCGGAATGACGCGGTAGATGGCCTCACTAGTCACCGTTTACAGTAACGTTTACATTTATAAACAAAAAAATATAAAATTCTTACTTATCTTCCAATTTCAACTTAGTTCACTGATTACCAATTTATTATTTCGAATATTTAATAAAAATTGTACTGTCAATGATATTTATCACTAGGTTTACGGACATTTCTTGTATACCTATTTCTACGAGCACGCGCCGACATTTTGTTCAAAACGTAACCTAAAAGGCAACATAATTGTACACTATTAATTTAAAGAACAAAATATTGAGATATATATTTATACAAAATTTATAATATTTGTAGGGATTATTTTTATTTAAATGCAAACGATTTCTGTAATTTTTGTCAAAATGGCGCACCCCGTAAACCTAGTATTAATAATTCGTTATTTTTCCAAAATATCTTAAATAGTTTGCTATACAGCTCGAACCAACTATACACCATCGCGTACACCATGGATTACGTATTTTTTCTCTCTCTCTCTTTCACTGATCAGAAGCAATTTAATTTCGAAGGCAGAGACAGCGTTGGAGTACGTCTGGACTACGCGACTGCTCGAAAAGTCTGCGAGACAGAGAGCGTGGACCGTGTTGAGAGACTAAGGCTGCGAGACGTGGTGATTAGAGAAGGAAGGAAGATTTCTTGAACGGGTAACAGAGAACGATAGAATCGCATGTTAACCGCGACACCTCGAGTGAACAGAGCGCGATCGCGTGAAGCAGTGCAGCATTCGCGGAACGAACGAGTCTGCACAGAGATGGCGCGCAGTGTAGTATCCATAACCGCCAAACAACGACTTCGCCGAATGGCCGCGGTCTCGAGAGCGATTTTCGTTAGTAAACACAGGACGACCGTGAGAACGGGCAAAAGAGAAGGGGGAGAACAGCCATAGAGTTGCTGGTAGTGCTTTTGAACTAGCGTGTCAGAGAGGCACGTCGAGTAATATTACGTAGCGACAACGAACGAGAACCAGATATATGTATATATACATTTTTACAACATTCCGTTTTCTGGGGGGTTAGGTGAAACGTGTAAAACAGAGATAGGAAAGAAAAAAAAAACCCAGAGACAGACGGAAGAAGAGAGAGGCGTCTAGATCGCAGAATAGATGCAGAGACAAAGAGAAGAGTTCACATCAACAGATCAGGAAAACTCAAAATTACCTTTGTCGTAGAGAGTAAAAGTAGTGATGGTGTAGTGGTGGTGGTGGTGGTAGGATGGTTTTTTTTTTTTGGCAGGGGTGTTTAGTGCTCACCTCTGGGGCTGGTCGACCTTGCTCCGCCCCTGTCGTCCCAGTCTTCAGGTCGAGGTCGAGGCGACAGCCTGCCACCTCCACCAACCTCCTGACCGCTTTGCACGTAGTGCACAATGGCCGAGGTTACCTCCTTTATCGAGTTCCTTACCTCTAGCTGCTGATTCGTTGTCTGCTGTTGTTGTTGTTGCTGCTGTTGCTGCTGCGGAGAGAAATTTTCATTTTATTCATTTCTCTATTATTTTTCTATAATGGATGTTTTTTTTTTTATATACAGGGTGTCCCAGCAAAGTAGTACAACTGAGAGTGGGGGGTGATTCTACGTGAAAAAAACAAATTGAAAATAAGGAATACAATTTTCTCATTCGAAGCTTCGTTGTTAAGAAAATCGACTTTGAATCTTCACAGAGTGCGCTGGTGTATTGATGGTCCATCCATCTTGTAAGCCATAGCTAAGTGCACGCGTACGCAGTGAATATTCAAAGTCGATTTTCTCGATAACGAAGCTTCGAATGAAAAAATTTTTTTCTTTATTTTTGATTTGTTTTTTCACGTAGAATCATCCCCTCCTCGACTTTTTCACCGATGCTGATGTATCGATCATCTATCCATCTAAGCTATAGTTAAGTGTAAGCGTACTCAGTTAATATTCAAAGTCGATTTTCTCGACTACGAAGCTTCGATTGAAAAAATTTTCTTTTTCTTTTTCGATTTACTTTTAAATCGAAAAATATACGATTCTAATATTATTTAGAATCATCTGCTTCTCGGTTGTACCACCATTTCTGGGACACCATGTATATATATACATTTTAGTTAAGATTTGAATCCAGTGATTTTGTGAAAATTTGTAGTGCATGAAAATAATATTATACATGTGTATATTAATGGTTACAGGGGATTAACAACTTTTTTCTACACTTTTATATTAATTTTGCTGTACCTGGTGAATTCTTGGTAAATTCATATGGAGATACTTTTTGTGGTCACGTTTCAATTTTTGTTTTCGAACTAAATTTTTTTATCGCTTTATTTAGCGGAATTCTCTTTCAATATTTGGCTGGGAATTTTAATTTAACGATTTTGTAGAAATTTTTATACCAATTTTTAAATTAATTTTTTAAGTTTTAATATACAATTTTTATTTCTTTTGTGAAATTTTTATTTTATTATTTTAATTAATAGGATTATTTTTTCGTTTATCCTGCTTGAAATTTTAACCCAATGATCTTTAATGAAATCATAATAGCATATATATTCGTAATTTTGAAAATCTTGCAATCTTTATTTATTTTTATATTAATCAATTTATTTACATTTTTATATTAATTCTTCTTCGAATCCACGTGGAAATATTTGTCCACTGTTACAATATTTTCAAATTTAATTTTGCAATTCGAATATTATACAAAATATTCGAAATTGTATTATAATTTGTATTAACTGGAATTATTCGATCAATAGGTATTATCTGATATGCTTGGACAGAGATGTACTTTTAAGCAATTTCTCATTAATTCCCTCATTTCTCTACGGAGCCACGCATGATTTTGCACGAACAGTTAATCACCCTTCAGCTGTATTGATTATTAGTACACCTGGGAAATGGTAGAATCAATAATTTCTTGTTCGTGAATTATAAGTTTCCTCGACATAGACCACTGAATTAATAATTACCCCTCGATACCATTATTCACCGAGCTCCGTTCCGAAATCCAAGCTCGTAAATTCAGTCTACGTACTGACTGAGATTTAACCCTTTGCACTATAATTATTATCCTAATTTGTTCTCGGCTAACTCTGATTTAATTTTTCTAATTTTAATATCGCATGTTAGGTATGAAGCAATTACTTGCAGTTGTTCAAGGTTTAATGTTTTATTAACAAAACGATTGTTCATGAAGAATGTATAATATCAAAATAAGAATATTTAGTTCCTTGTTATTTATATTTTATTAAAATATGGTAATTTTTAAAACAATTTATTATGTGTAAAAATGGCATTCTGTTATAAGTTTCACAAAAGTAGACTGTTGTTCGACTTCCATCTTTTATTTTTCAATTTGAACATATTGACTAGGCAGTCATTATGTTTGCTTTAAGGATCTGCCATTAGTATATGTAATTTACCATCTAAATAAAATTCCGTCTCACTAATTTATTAACTGTATGAAGTGACACGACAGAGGTGACTTAGGAATATTAGGGGAGAATAGTTGTCACGCCAGAGGTAGCCTCATAGTGCAAAGGGTTAAGGATGGTTCTACACACACATTTGTTGACATAATTCTAGTAATTTATCATAATTTTCTACTGTCAAAAATTCAATAAGATAAATAAAAATTTATCTTATCCTCATCAATGTAAATTTTTATTTTTAAAATAAAATTAAATAAATTCTGTTTATAAAATTTTATTATTACATACATTTGAAATTGTATAATCAATGATGTGAATTCGTTTGTATAAAATTTCATGATAAATAACATTTTTAAATTAATAACAAATTTGATGAAATTCGTTTTAGAGTATCAGTTGTGTAAGAAATTTTGGGGACTATAAATGACACGAGTTTACGTCAGCGATAGTCAGAAAGAAGATTACAGATGACGTGCATTCACGTCAGCACTTGGGAATGTGTTAAATTAATTTAATCTTCGTATTGCTATAAGAAGACACAGATGGTAATAATACTTAATTATTCAATCATTATTTTTTCATGTTCCTTCATTACTTTTCTGTATAGATCATTCATAAAATTCCTAAAAAATAAATATATATATATGTTCCATTAAATTCCTAAGCCCATAATCCATTTTCCCTCAAATAATATAATTAAAATAATTTTTAACAAATTTTGATTGGCACATTTCACTAATTAAATTGAGTACTCAGTAATTTTTGTAAACTTTTTTAAACTGAGTGGTAGAATTCGTAGATTATTTCATATAAAATTACTAAAAAAACAAAATTTCTAAAAAATATATATATCTTGTTATAAATTTCTAAACTCATAATCCATTTTCCCTTAAATAATATAATTAAAATAATTTTGATCAAATTTTGATTGTCACATTTCACTAATTAAATTGAGTACTCAGCAATTTTAACGAACTTTTTCAAATTGAGTCGTAGAATTCGTAGATCACTTTATATAAAATTACTAAAAAACATAAAATTCCTAAAAAATAAATATATATATGTTGCATTAAATTCCTAAGCTCATAATTCATTTTTTCTCAAATAATATAATTAAAATAGTTTGTATCAAATTTTGCTTATCATATTTCATTAATTAAATTAAGTATCTAGTAATTTTTATAAATCCTTTTTAAGTTGGATCGTATTAAATTGGAGGACCCCTTCTCCCAAATTTATCTGAATATGTAACAAATATTCGGATCATTCAATTACCTCCATCAAAATTTCAAACTAAAAAAAAATATTATTCCTTCAATCACAAACATTAAAAATACACTAAATCAAAAATATCCTTAAAAAACGAAAAACATATGTAAAATAGTTCAACCATACTGCAAAACGGTTAAAAAGGAATATCGATTAAACAAAATCTAGAACACACACGTGCACGTACATGTACACATGTATGCATTCCATCGTCCTACTGATTCTAATAAATGTTAAAACGGTGGAAAGAAGTCACTTTGACGTTAGAGAACCAATTTTATTCCTTCCCTTTCCCCTCTCTCTTTCAGAAACGAAAAGCTGATTAAAAGTTGGCGAAGTAGAACAATACTCGCGGCACGGTTCAAGCTCAGGGCGGAGAGGGGTGATCGGGGTAACAGTCAATTTGTCTCGGGTTGCAAAGGCCACGAGACGCCAGAACGAGGATTTCTGCCAGAATTTCTAATTATAGAGAAGTCGCTGCATTTGCGCGCTGTCTGCATAAATTAAAAATAAATCGAACAAAGAGGGAAACGGGTAGGGGTCACCCCGAGGGCAGATTTCGTTTCGCGGATTTGCGAACGATTGTCCCGGCGTGGAATTTCGACTAATCGTGCACTTGCATCCTGACTAGCCGGCTTAATCCAGTTACAAATGGCGGAAGCGACGACCGGGAAAACGGAAGTACGAAGTCGAGTTTGGAGATTAACGAGGGTGAATTTGGCAACGATTAAATATGGACTTAATGGCTTTAACTTGAAGTGAAATTTCACCCTATGCGAATTTTGTTTACACTATTTTTTAATGGGTTTATTATTGAATAAACTTAGAGGGGTACATAATTTATTCGCGACATTCAGTTATTGGTAATGATATGGTAAAATGGATCAATTCGGAGAAAAAATTTGATTAGGGTGGTATTTGTGACAGCTTGTAGAAGTCAATAAATGTTTTAAGTGGAAATTGTTTTTAAAGAAAAATTGTATTTTTCTTTTTTAAAAATGATTTTCGAATGTCCTTCAATTAATTGCAAGTATGACAAGTAGAGATGGAAAAGCAGACAATATTTTTACATAATTTTCGATAATTTTAAATGATTCCTTTTTGTCTTTTTTTAAGTAAAGAAAAACTGTATCTTTCTTTTTTGAAAATGATTTTTGTGACAAATATTTTGTATCAGATAATAGATGGATGCCCTTCAATTAATTGCAAGTATGATAAGCAAAGATGGAAAAGCAGAAAATATTTTTATATGTTTTGAGAATTCATATATATATGAAAAATTTTGTATTTTGAATTAATATTTTTGATATTATGATCAGGAACTTAAATTTTTTAATTTTATAATCTATAATAATTTTTTAAGCGTCATAAAGATTTTTATGATCTATAATTGCGATTTTTATGATGAATCATAATTTTTTGATTATGATATGATAGGTATTATTATATGCATTGTAGTTTTATATCAATAATTGTCAACAAATATACAAACGTATTGCCTTTGTTTTTCCACTGTTAATTTTCCAATTTTCCCGCCGCCATATTTTTGAAACATTAAAATTTTTCTTTTATATAAAGCACATTATCAGTATTTGTATAGTAACATCTGAAAAAGAACTGTACATCAGCAACTTATAAAATATCTTAGGACATAAAGTACATAAAATAATAAAACATACAGTGCCATAAATAAAATATTTAAGGAAAATAATGCTAAATTCAATATGTAATCTTTTTCTTTATTTATACATTATCGTGTTCACTATACATATGTATATGACAGTGATTCGAGTCTACATATAATTTTAATATTAAAAAGAAAATCGTTAAAATAAATCAAGCAAAGCACACATTTATAATACACCTAAAGATTTCAAAGAAAAAGAAACTAATACATGATGATAATTTAATGAACAGTGAATATGTTGATTAACTCTGCAACACTAATAAGCAATAATAATAAATGAACAATTCTCAATTACAAATTTTTTAATTCCATTCAACCGCAAAATAAAATTAAAATACATAGAAAACAAAAATTTGAATTATCTAATAAAAAAGAAAAATTAATTATTACATTAGATTTAGTCTACTGTATTTTTCACAATTGCTACCAACACTAGCAAGAATCCACAAATAAATTCATTTAACGTACATTTAAAGCAAGCGCCAAAATTTGTGAATCAATTCAAGAATTAAATTACAAATATCCAAAAAATATTACAGAATTGAAAAGCAAGAGTGTTGAAGAATTAAAGTGTTTTATGGTATAACAAAGAAATTTGGATCAACAAACCTTGTTGGCTGCTTGCAACTGGGGAAGAATACCCTGAGCAAGACGTTCCGCCGGGGTCCGCGGGTTCGTGAGCCGTTCCTGAGAACGCCAGCCCAAGTATGGCTGTCGATGATTGAAGGACGACCTCGCTGAACTCGCTGGCGAATTTCCGGTGCTGTTCAGCAGACTGGTACTCCATCTTGAGAATACAGGTGGCGTGGGACTTGGACTTAGAAGGGCACCTACGCAAATTTATTGTCACCTATGAGTATATCTCACTTTAACCTGTGCAGCGCAATTCTCGGTTTTTGAATTTCCCGCGCTCGTAAATCTACATTTGGCTGGTTTATGGCGACCAATTTCGGAGCGTGGCTTAAACTTACGTTAAATTAGGGTAAACTTGATCGGGATTGAACTGAGGTTATGTGGGAATACCCAATGCGAGTTATAGTGATTTACGTTTCGAGACTTAAAAAGTTACTAGATATCTTGCAGTCTTACGATTAATCCAGTGATTTGAAAATTTCACTATCGATAAACTAAAAATTTATAAGTGTACTATTATGTGTATTAATTTCAATAGGATTTATAGGTTATAAACTTCGATAGATCTGTCGGCCATGTTTTTTCCATTGAGTATTGAGCTAATTTAGATGTCGTGTTAAAAGTAATTACAAATTTCATTATATATTGAGAATAATGGATTTTATTATTCTTTATCGATATTTATATGAGGTTTTTAAGCTTTAATATGCAAATTGTTAATAATAAATAAATTTTTCGAAAAATGATACTCCTATGAGAGGTTATCTTTCAACCTTTTTACCCTACAGAGAGTTTTCCTGTGCTTGGATGTAACACGTGTAGTAGCCTGATATTTCAGTGTCCATATAAATGACCATAAAATGTTTTGACCAACCGTGAAAACCCAATCGTTAACCTCTTCTTTGAGAATATTTTAACACGTTCGACCATAATTAATGCACACTCTTGCAACGAAATATTTTATCAAAAATTCGAAAAACGATGTTAAAAATTTAATAACTAAGATAAATATTAACTAGATAAAATTAAAGATAAATATTAAGGCGTCATTTATATCTACATACAATATTTACCATTTAATCAACATACCAATAATTATCAATTAATTAATTATTTTCACCAAGTAACTAATTTGGCTATTAATTAATTATTAATATAAAATATATATATAAAATTTATTAATGCAATAATCTTCTTTCCCTCTTCTCCCCCTCTCACGTATTACCAAAAGCAAAGCCAAACAATTCCAACTTTCGCATTATCAGTATCACCATAGCAGCTCCAGTGCGATCCATTGCTGTCAATAAAAGAAATTCATACGTTTCATCCATGGGCCATCGAACACCTGACAAATGAAGATAAACACAGAAACAATTGCCACGGTATTACAATCCAATCGAGGTCCAAATACAGCTATACAGGGATCGTAATACCGTAATACCATGTCCCTTGACTCGTTTTACACAGGCTGGTCTGTCACTTGATCCGGATTTTGAATGGATTACGCTGGAAGACTTTTGATCGACGGTTTTGCAAGTCGAATAATATGTTGCCCGGGAACTTTTCAGCGGAATAAAAGACTTGACAGCTGTCTCGCGTTCACGTTAACCGGCTGTCGTTGAGGTATCCAACATTGCTTGGCAGTGGAACACGTTCCTGAGCCTCCACTGGTAGGCGTGTTAATTCTATCCCTTTGTTCTTGGTGTCGACTATCAGAGAGACTTTAGAGGAAAGTGACTGGTTCGCGAATTGGGCAAGAATCGTGGGTCTGTTCCGTTGGATGAGCTGCGTCCTATAATGGCGAGAGGAACCCAAGAATAACGTTTGGGTTTGGTAACTCTGGTTCTGCTTGATCACTGGGTATTGCATACTAGAACAGAGTCCTTCTTGATCTCTAGGTTGATGAAGGGACGATAGGTTAAGTCAGAAATGTAAGTTACAGGTCATGTATGTAGGCTGTAAATGAAGTAAAACACGGACGAGATGTAGCCAAGTGTCTGTTAGGTATTCTTGGGGATGAAGATGCAAGTGGGCAGAGCAGAAGTTATATTTGGTTCGAAATGCTTGGTGTTATTAATTTCAAGGTTATTTGGAGGTCATTAGGAACATATATATCTTTCTTTAATGATACCATGTAGGCTTGACTTCATGATTTGTTTATTTATAAAATACTCGATATCAAAGCGAGTTCAATGACTGGGAATACCGTGACATTGAAAGGATTGTTAGATTAGATAGCCTAGATTGACATGATTGAGTTTTTATTATAAAAATTATTTCATCTGATGTATTGGATGATATGTAATACGAAAGGAATTAAAATATGTAGCAAAATAATAATAATAAAAATTTACTAGAATAGGTAAATTTGCATTACACTGTAATACAGTGTAGTGTCAAGAGAAACAAATGTTTAATTCCTTTTTATTCAACCTTTTGAACTGTGGTAATGGTTACATAGATTTTTAAGTATATATGTATTGGAATGAATGGAACAAGTATGCATGGGATGGAAATATCTAATGAATTCAGGTTATTATGATAAATGAATATGCGTGTAATGATCGAGGTGTTGTGTGATTTGTGTATGTTAATACAATGTATGAAAGAAGAAAGAAAGAAAGGAGAGTGATTTAGCATTTGTCAGTTGCAATTGAGTATTAATAGAGAGAAGACGTGTGGGCATATTAAATATAAATAATTATATTTAAATTATTATAATTATTAAATTATTATATTAATAATTTATATTTAAATATATATAACTATTTATTCACATAGTGATAAAATAATTATATTTCAACCCAATATCTGTGTTTGATAATCTTTGTAATTAAATAAATAACTGTTCATATTGTTATTAAATTTCATCCACCACTAAAACATGAACAAGCTAAATAAACGCAAAAATAAAACTGCATCCGAGCAAAAGGTTATTAAAAGAAATAGCTATAAAGACAAGCCCTTTAAGGCATCCCTTAACGTGAAAACACCCGAGAGGATCGTTGATGGTGGCCAGACGCCATTTAAAAGGGGTGTCTCGACGAACTCTGCCCTTTTCAGACTGCCATCCGGCAACGAAATCCGCGGCAGCAGCGTGTGCCAAGCAACCCTTTAAATCTGGTAATTAGAGCCCTCCCCTTAACAAATCGCGTTCTCTCGTTAGAAGCGTCCTCGAAGGATTCGCAGTGCGGCCGCAGGGCGGCGACACCGTCGCGGCGCGACAACGCGCCCTAGCGTTAGTGCTCGCAACTCTGCTGTTAGCAGACGACGACACGACGACGGGCTGAATTAATCGAGTTAACTTGCCCCGCTAAATTTATTAGCCGCTTCCTATTAGCAGTTACTCCACGTAGCCAGAGAATATCCGCGAGACTCTGTCGAGGGGAGAACGAAAGAGAGACGGAGACGAGAGTAAATGAAATTGGCCGACACTCGGCACTCGCTACGCGCTAATTTCGGACGCTGCTCGCCTTTTCACCGACGGCAAGAGGCCGCTTGCTTCATATTGCGCCGTTTTATTGCGAATCGTTCTCCACGGAGTGATATCATAGCCTCTGCTCCTTTCATTCATGGACTTCCCAAGGGTTTCATATTGATTCTCGCTGCATTTTAGTTTAACTTTGTTTAATTTGGAAAATCACATTTTTCTGTTGCTTGTACGGTTTCAAAGGGTTTGATGCATACTTTGAAAGGGGAATTGGAATTCGGCTTAGAAAAATCGTTTTTTCACTTTCTTATATTTTCTCAAAGTATATGCTTTCGAAAATGACTGTGTAAAAGGATTTGTTCGAATTCGTAAAATTAGCTAAGTTATAGAGATTTAAAGTGCGGTGTACAGTCATTGAAATTTTCTTGAAATCACATTTTTTGAACTTCCTGAGAAGATATCTCGCGTTCCAGTTGACCGATTGACTCAAAATTTGAAGGAGATCTTCACTGGGTGTATCTTTATCGCGTGAACCACGGTTTTCAAAATCTGATATTTTTTTCTATTTTTGTTTACCACTCAAAGTTCGAAAAGCACAAGGAAAATCGATATTTGAATTTCAAAATGGTGCCATTTTTTTTAATTTTCGAAATTTCGTTGTATTGGTGATTCATACTATAACTGTATTAACTGTACCTAACCAGATGATCTGGAATCGTGTTAGCCATTCGAACCTGCTTTTAAAAACATGATTTACCAAAGGCTATAATAATTTCCACAATTTTCAATAATTTTGTTTTAAAAAAATTAGAAATATTCTCTAAATATAAATAAAACTGAGTGCGAAAACAGAATAATAAAATATATCATGGTTTCCTCAGAAAAAATTCCCACAGAAGCCGATTTTTATTTCACAAATTAAATTGGATTTTATTCTTTTATATGTGGTGACATTGATTTTTGGTTCTTTTATTTAATTTTGTTCAATTTAGACTTTTTCTACAATTTTTTAAGTTTCAAGGGTTTGATGTATATTTTTGGGTACAATTTGGTTAATTAAAAATTCGAATTGGATTTTTCTTTTGTTTGCAGTGTCTGAAGGATTTGATATTGACCTTTGGTTATTTTTTGTTGATATTCTTTCATTTGGATTTTCTCTTCAATTTGTGTAAAGATTGTAGTTGTGTTTCAGACAAAATTATGGTTAAATAATGTTTTGAGGAATACGATATTAACTTTGATCTATTTTTATTTCCAAAATAATCTATAAAATATGAAAAGAATATTTGGAAAAAGACTTTTTGGAGGTAAATGTGAACAAATTTTTAACAGGGTTTGATGGAGAGAATTTTTACTGGAGAAGTTTTGTATTATTATTTAGGATATATTAATTCACTATAAGATTTTCACATTAATTAGTTTATTAATGGATTAACATAAAAATTAACATATTTAATTTGTTAATACAATTAATCTAAAATAACGTTAATACTAAGTGTTATTAATAAAATCTGCAAATAAATGTATGTAAAGATTAGTAGGAAGTGGTGATGAATTTGTTTATACTAATACAAGGACAAATATTATTACTGGCATTTACTGAATAAATACTTTCACTTAATACTTCTTTGTTACGTGCACTTAATTTTCTTGCTGAAATGAAACAAACTGTACATCCTAAAGCAGAATTGTACAGTTAAATTTCATCTTTTAAGCGTTAAGAGAAACTTCTTCAGGAGGTCCTTATAGAAGTCAATGTAATGAAATTTCAAAGCAAGAGCCATTAAACTCTCGCAGAATAAAAGCTCTCACGGAGTAATGCCTTTATAAGTCTACATTCAATTCTGAATAATTGTGAATAAATATTCAAAAGGTGTTGCACAAAGCAATATTACCCTTGCTGATATATGATTTCATGGCTTTGTGCTTCAATATTTGCTCGTATAATGACACGTAATAAATCTTCTAAATATTCAAGTATTTACAGAAATATGTCTGCAAATTTACGCTAATTATTTATTTTCCCACAATTCTCAGTGATATTCTAAACAAAAATAAGATAATAAAGAAGTGCAATAATTTTTTAAAAATTAAACAAAAGAATAAAAATTTTTTGAATTATTTTTTAAATGACGTTTTAATATCGATAAAAAGGTCTTATAAAATAAGATTTTCACGTCATTGGTCGATAGCGTTATTTGATCACGGATTGTCTTATTCCATGACTCCTTTCACCATCGATCCACGTGTTATGACACTCTTAAGATCAATCGATAAAGCATCAGTTAATCGTTGCAAAGACCTTCTACTTTGCCCACAGTTGTAACATTTTTAAACACGATATAATTACATAATAATACATCTGAGAAATTTCTTATTTCATATATAGCATTATTCTATATTTCTTGCATAGCAAACTTTTCGAAAAATTCTCAAATTTCTCAATCACATAAATCAAAATTTATCATCACTGCACTTTGGACATGTCCTCTACTAAATAATAACTGAAGTTTCCAAAATTATTTTACTAATACTATATTGTTTTCACTATACTTTATACCTACAAGAATAAGCAAAAATAATAATAATAATAATACATCTAAAAAACTTCTTATTTCCTATATAGCATAATTCTATCTTTCTTGCATAGCAAACTTTTCGAAAAATTCTGAAATTTCTCAATCACATAAATCAAAATTTATCATCACTGCACTTTGGACATGTCCTCTACTAAATAATAACTAAAGTTTCCAAAATTATTTTACTAATACTATATTGTTTTCACTATACTTTGTACCTAGAAGAATAAGGAAAAATAAATTTATAATTTATTCGGTAAAAAGAAAACTAAATTCAAGCAAACAATTTTCTCACAATCAGTTAATATGTCAAATGTGAGATAATGCAACAGTGTGCAAGATATCGAAATCAAACAATTCTACGTGTTAATTATTATACGATTTCTTATTTGCTGCTTAAAAAAATATCGTCAGCTTTATAGCAGAAAATGAAAATCTTTGAACTCCCACTCTTCTTTAGCCAAAAAATCGTCGAGTGCAAAGGGTTAATTGAGTCGTTCAGAAGCCAATGCGGTTAAGTACATTTTCAGATATTTCCTGATTTTTGTAAATTTCGTGGAATAAACAATATTCCTATTAGTTATTAAAAAATTTACTTGTCACTTCGTTTTATTCTACGTCAAATAACCCTTTTTGAAAGAAGAAGGCGTATATTAACCCTTTGCACTCTTTTGTAGAGTTTGACTGGACATGAGTTTTCATTACAAGAATTTCTATGTCAAGTTATTAACCCCTTGGCTACTGTGGGCGCCTATGGGCGCTTAGAAATTTTGCGTTTGTGACACGGAGGACGCCTATGAGCGCTTAAAAATTTTGCGTTTGTGACACGGATGGCGCTTATGGGCGCTTAGAAATTTTACGTTTGTGACACGGAGGGCGCCTATGGGCGCTTTAAAATTTTGCGTTTGTGACACGGAGGGCGCCTATGGGCGCTTAGAAATTTTGTGTTTGTGACACGGAGCGCCCATAGGCGCTCGGCGTAGTTTAGCTTTCTGACACGGAGGGCGCTTGTTTTCACAAAAATGGCGCACATCGTAACTCAATTCCTGCCGTATGGTACAGCCGTTACGTGTAAAAATCTGCCATAGTCAAAGGGTTAATAAAGAAATTTATTGATCTTTTGTTCACTGAACAAGAAAAGAGAAAATATGCAAGAAAAATAATTTGGAGTGCAAAGGGCTAAATGGTAATACGTATCGAAAAATATTAATTTTCTCGATTTCTGTTTTCTGCGCTCAACTAGAAGCACTGGCTTCTGAGAGTCTGAATTGTTAAAAGTATTCGGTTCAAGGCACTCGGCAAAGAATTATTCTCAGATAGAATGCACGAAATATCCTTTTGGACCTGGTCGAGGTGGGCTTTGATACGCCCCTGTTTAGAGTTGGACGAAAGAAAATTGAAAGACCTAGTCTAACGATAGAAATGAAAGGCAGAAGAATAGGGGGAAGTTTAATATCTGGAAATGAGAAGGTGATTACCTGTAGTCGGCTGTCTATTGGAAGACGACGAAAGGGACGAGAGGGAGGTGGTTTTCGAGCCCAGAGCACGCCATCCTCCGTGCTGCGACGCATCGGAGTGCCTCTTTAACCGGAAGCCATCGCGAGCCGCGGGAGAATTCTTGTACCAATCCGGGACGTTCAGTCGCTGCAGAGACCTCTGCACTCTGAGTTCGTGTTCGCTGGGTACGCGTTCGCCGACTTTCTGCAACTCGTTCTCCGGCGGCTGCAAAACGAGCAATTTTTTTTATCGATAAACACGTGTAATCAATCTTTTCTTCTGGCAAATTTTGAATATATATATATATATATTGTATTCGTATTCAATTTCTTGGGTTATATTTGTTAACACTAGGTTTACGGACGCTATCTGTATACCTATTTCTAAGGATACCTGTCAAATTGACAG